CCCAGATGCAGGACTCTGCACTTTCCCTTAATTAATTAAATACTTTAATTTACAGATCTCTTCAAAATTTTCTAATAAACCACCAGCAGTGAGGGGGTTGTTTTTGTTGTTTGGTGGGGTTTTTTTGTTTGTTTGGGTTTTTTTAAGAGCAAAAGAAATTTCCTAAAGTAGCAGTAGGAAATACCTGTGAGTTTGGCCACTGTCTCTTCTCTTCAGACTCCTCTACAGTCACTGAATCAGGGATGTTGAAGAATTCCTGCCTATTTTGCTTTTTGTGTCCATTTATGGACCGGCTAGACATGAACAGGCCTAATCTCTCATTTATGCTATTGATGCTTCCCGCCTCCATGACTGCTTATGGCAACAAGCTCCAGAACTTCTGTGAGAGGGGAAAAAAGTGCCATCTTATTTTTTTTTTAATCTTTCCTTTTTTTTTTCTTTCAAGGATGTCTTGTCGCTTTCAGCCCCATCTTTCTAGTAATTGTGGGATTTGACAAATAACAATTCTGCCTTGACCATGTGTTGTGTCCCTCTATCACTTAAGTGAAATGTGTAATCATGTGCAGATGGAGAGTCCCTTCAAGAGCCAGTTTTAATTGTTTCAAGAGATCTGGACTATCACAGGCTTTAGAATGGCTCCGGGTTGTTGACCATGGTTTGTCTACTGACACTTGTTGTTAAGATTTTCTGATTTGGAGGAGAAAGTTTGGTATTTTTAAAAAATATTTTTTAAAGGCTGGATTGATCTTTATAATGATGTCTTGCGGCATAATTATAGTATGCTTCAAGACATGAATATAAAATGTGCTAATTGTCTAAATGTAATGTGTATGTTAAATATAGTGGTTATGTGCCCAAGATTTACTCTGAATTAACTCTGGAATCCAGGTAAATATTACTTGGCTTAAGCTAATTTCTGCTATGAAAAGCAAGTCAATATTAGTTTTGTCCTGTCGTCTATGCAGATATTAATTGATCAACTTAACGTGCTTACATTTTGTGTATATCAAATTGAATGCTTTTCTTTCTTTGTTTTTCCTTCCCTTTGTCAGCTATTTCCTCGAAGGTGTACGTGGTTGTATGTCATGAACAATTGCTTATTATCAATATCTGGTAAGTTACTGTGCTATCTTTGAGCGGTAGTGCTGGTAAACATTTGGTTTCATATTTGAAGTGTGGTTTTGTTTTCTAATTTCCAGGTAAAGCTTCTCAGCTTTATTCCCATAATCTACCAGGGCTCTTTGATTATGCAAGGCAAATGCAAAAGTTACCTGTTGCTATTCCAGCACATAAACTCCCTGACCGAATACTTCCCAGGTAAATACACATCATCAGATATTTCAGAATATCTTAATTCTGGGAGTTCAGGATATGCTTGTGAAACTCTCTGGGAATACCAAATAATGTGGAACTGTCTTCACAGATTGCCATGAATAACTCGTATGAGCATTAATCAAAGGGTAGACCCATAAATTTACATGAATCAAGGCGTGAATATATAAAGAGAAATGGGTTTTGGTATATTTTACCTTGTCATGAAGCCTCCTGTTTCTTGGCATAGCTCTTTTAAGGTGTAGTCTAATATGGTAAATCCTGGTTGTACCTGATGCTAAACAAAATCTAGGGTCAGTATTGTACCTGTGACATTTCAGGCAAGTAGAAATGGTGGTCTTACTTTAGTTACTCTGGGCACTATCTTTCTATTATATTAAAAAAAAAAAAAGGTGGGGATGTATAATCTCTTACTGCAAAGGGAATTGGCTCACTGGATATTTTGAAAGATGGAAAGAGCAGAACTGGAGTACAGATCTGACATTCATCGTTTCCTAGGCACTTTTTCACAGGCATTCTTCTTAGAAGGTACTTTTGTCCCTAGATGCCTACAACACATTGTGTGTGCAGACCCTCCTACTTTATTTACGAACAAGCACATACAAAATTCTGAGACAGAGTACAATGCTGGCTGCCAAATAAGCCTCAGGAGCCCATTCAAATCCAAGAGCAGGAGGTAGTAACACTAACCTAGTTTGCAGAGAAACCTTTTCTTTTTAAAGTGCATAGTGAATCACTGAGGGTTCTCATATAACAGGCTTTCTGTTAGGAAATTATATTATTGAATACCTAATTTTCTACTACTTTTGGTTCCATTTAATGGTCTATTAGCATTTAATTTTTGGATGCAGGAAAGGTTTCTTGTTAAGCTGTCTGCAAACATAATGGTGCAACACTTCTGTGTTCTTCCTAGAGACTGAGTTCTAATTACCTATGAGATCATTTGTAATTTGAATTGTTGTCTTCTGTGTGCCTTCACAACTGCTCTGCTCCTCTCTTTTCCAAATTAACTTTGGCTTGAGGTCTGCTTCAGCAGTGGGCTAATAACCATAATTATCATAAGGCTCATGTGAGCAAAACCTTTAGAATAAATTCAGCCTGTAATGACACCACATCTAAGTTGCAGAAGGCTCAGAAAATTTCTTGTCCAGTCATGTCACTTCCCAAGAAAAACGCAGCACAACCTGAATGTGCGAATGCCAAGCCAGTCATTCAAAGGCAGGAGAGATTAGTTTAGATAAGGCATTTTGCTGGTTTATCCCTTGCTGTAAGGCATTGGGGTAGTAACATTTAGCCAGGCAGAAGAAGTATATTTGAAGTATGTAGAAGAGTGTTTTTGTTTTTGTTGGTTTTGTTGGTTTTTTCACCCCCCTTACCTTAAATTGAAAACAATTCCCAAGACACACAGTGTGTTTAGAGAGGAGACGTTGTTTTATTCTGCACAGGGTGTGAGGTGGAAGATTTCCACAAATCAAATACGCCACATGCAAAATTTACAGCGTGTTTATCTTGATACCTAATCAGCAAAACTCCACCTAAAATGACATTAATCGGTACAGAGTTACTTAATCTACTTTCTGTTGGCTAACTAGTCTCTTGCTTCCCATGCTAATTAGTTTGCATGTGCAGTGTTGCCCTTCTTTTGGGTCGGAGAGTTTCTTGGGTCAGTGGTTGCGATTTCCCCCTGCCGCATTTACCTTTCCTCCAGTTTTCACAGCTTTTGCTGACTTTCATCCTCATTAGGCAACTGACCAGCCTTTGGTGCCTCTTTGGCCTGGATGATTGGTCTTCTCAGTCTTGTAGCTTCTCTTCAAGGGCATATTTGCTAGTAAGGCATGCAAAGAGACTGATCGGAAGTCCTTTAGTTACAGCTTCAAGGACCAAGTATTTTGCTGTCCTAAATTCACATGCCAGAATGCTTCACTATATACATATGGTTTCCATTATCCCATGTTAACTATTTTACTGCATCATCAAGGTAATAAATCCCCTCTTTAAGACCTATCCAGGAACTCCTAGATGAGTCTCATCTTACATTTCTAGTATCCAGTAACCTAGTACAACATTTACAAGTATATTGTATTACCACAAACACACACAAAGATTAGTAAGCCAACCATCAACATAGGTATCAGATTCTTTATCCATTATGCCAAATCTGGAAACTAGAAGGGTCAACCATTTCCACTTTTCTTCAAACTCCATAGAACTATATTAAATGCAAAATTTTGGTTTGCTTGCAAATGTACACGCTCCTCCTTGTGATGCTAATGTCGAGAGCCAATATTGCATCCAAGACTTCATTTCCCATCTTCTCTACTATTGCTGAGATATTTATTATAGCCATTTCTAATTCACTAACTCCTAAACGTGTGATAAACTGTCAAGCAAAAGAATGGAATGCCATTGACTTGTTGATTAAAGGATTGTGTGTTCATTCAATACTGATAACATACTAATATGTGAAATGAAGTCTCACTCTATAAATTTCTTCGTGATATATCTGTTGGAATAGAAACTCCCATGAGTGGGACCCCTTTTTCTGCATGTTCAGGGAAGTGTGTGCATACTCAGCAATTAGACTTGTTTGCAATTGTCATGGTCTTTTCTATCAATTTAAAAGGTATGTTGTGATTCCATGAGTTGGGCCGATCGTCCTCCTGTTTCCTTTTTGTCTGGCTCACCTTTATCAGAGACAAGAAACAGATAATCTTTTAGAAACATCCTTGATTCCAAAGAAATAGAGTACAGATTCCATAATATTATTATTATTATTATGCCTATAACAAGTAGCACTCCTAACAAAATTTGTTCTTGACTACACTCAATATTAATTACAGATTTAAAATTCATCCATGTACAGTTCATTTGACCTGTCTCAGTTTCAGCTTCAATGTTCCAGCAGCTTCTGCTTTCCACTCAGGAGTGGGTATTGCCTCCACAATCCAACTCAACTCCCTTGAGTTTTACAGCAGTATTAGTGGTCAATAAGACTTGGTGCAGTCCTTTCCACTTTTAAGCCAACAGAGTGTCTTTCGAGGTCTTTAAGAGTACTGAGTCTCCAGGGTGGAGAGGATGCACTGGTAATTCGGTGGGTCCAGGTGTTCCCAACAGAAGATGGTTATGCAGTGAGTACTAAACCTTGTTCAAGGATAGAAGATAATTATTTAACATTTTATCACCTATCACATGATTTGATCTGATTTAGCAGTCAAGTTTACCTTATATGGTTTCTTGTATATTATTTTGAAAGGGCTCACCTTTTCCCTGGATTGTGATGTGACCTTAGTGCTTAGTAGAGCTATAGGCAACAAATCTGCCCATTTCATTTTGTTTTCTTGACATAACGTTGTCTTTTTAGAGTAATTTTTATACAGTTTTTCATTCATTCTGCCTGTCTACTACATTGTGGTCTCCAAGGGGTGTGCAAATCCCATTTTAACTCTAATACTCTATGAATTTCTCCTTTCACTTCTGCTGGGGAGACTGGTATTCTTGCCCCTGGTCTCTATCAACCTCTGCCTGAGTTTTCCAACATGATGATGAAATTGCTCTGTTTGACACACCTGCTCCTCCAATTTCTTCCATTTCCAACACTCATTCTTCCAGTGTCCTTCCCCCTTACAATGCACACATTGATTCATTCCTAACTGATTTGTTCACATAGGACAATTATAATCTCCATGACCCCTTCCTCTTCTCCGAAATCTGCCTTGCATGTTTCCTCTGCCTCTTCTTCCTCAGTAGCACTTTCTGAATCTGTCTGCTTGGGGGAAGGCTACCAGCAGTTGAGCATCTTCCTCTGAATACCCTGCTTTAACGTCCCCTGTGTTATGACCCATACAGCAGGATTTTCCCCTGTCTATAGGGTTAATTCCACACTCTTTTCAACTATCCTATCTTTGTCTGAATAGAGCAACTCTCTCAATAGCACTGGAGGAGGGGAGGAACACACGCGCGCGCGCACACACACACACACACATCTGCCCTGCACACACACACTTCCCCCTTCCTGCTGCTGGCTGAAACCACAGTGTAAAGCCCAGCAGAAGCAACAAGCAATCCAGAGGGAGGAGTGCAGAGACCAGCTCTGTAGGCACCTTGGTTAAATTGCTCATAATTTAATTGCTGCAGCTAAAGTTCTTTCTTGATGATTTTGTACTCATTTTCAACCATCATCTTTATGGTGGTCTACTATAACACTACCGGCCTACAGATGTATTCTTCAGCCAGTTCCTGGATACCATGATAATGAATGCTACATGAAAAAAAGTAGGTTTGTTAAAAGTAAAGTTTTGGGTAGAGAAAATACAGAGCAAAATAGAATGTGAGGTAATTTGTGAGGTTCATCTGCAAAATGATCTAAGGTCAATTTATGATACTTGGTAGACAAACATTTGGTAGCAGAAAAAGTGTCGGTGATAAATAGTCTTTCCTGCTTCTTTCCCTTGAATGTCCTTGGGCAGTTCCTTTCAAACCTTCCATGACTACTTCCAGCCAAAGGTTATGGCCAGTACTCAGTTTTCATGCTGCTTAATCCTGCTGCATTATCAGTCACATCTGGGCCAACTTCATTTGAAATGCTGTGCAAGTATTTTCCCAATTCATAGCTTTGACTGCAGCATCTGTCTATCACTCCACTTATTCCCATCATTTCTACAGCATCAAATTAGTTATTTTTACTGTTAAGGCTACTGTGGCCACTCTCACACTGTCCATCATGTTCTCGTCTGTATAGAAACACTGATTCCCAGTACCGGCAAAAAACATCTTCCCTGGCTTATCTGATAAATTTTCAAGTGTTTGTTTTCTTGATTTCTCAGGGAGTGTCCCTAGCACATGAGAAAAAATCTTGCAAAGCTGCCTTCTAGTCCTCCTTCAGACCCCCCTGGGAAATGCATGCAGTGCTGCCTATGAAAAGTTTTGCAAAATTTACGCTGTTAGTTTGCAAGGACTGTAGCCCAGTAAGCTATCCAGTACAGCATCATTTCCCACACTCCTTGAGTCCGTGCTCTTGTCTTCAAACTCTAATGTCCTTGGGACAAGAGTGGGCTTTATGTTGCCTGTGTAGTATCTAGTGCAGGATGGAATAAGTTACAGCATTACAAAGAAGAATGATCATGGGGGAGTACCAACAGACTACCCAGGCATGTGTATAAATACATATAATTAAATAGCAAGAGATAGTGGTAAATTATGTTTGAAGGTACTGAGGTACCTATTCCTGTTCATTCCTGACTTTTAACTACATTCATAGTGCTGCATAGCTGAGCAGCATCTCGGTGCTAGCAGAGGGGTCACCATGTATGTTCTAGGCATATCCTTTTGAGAAGAAATATACAAATAAATATGATCTTTAGTTTTTCTGGGGGGCACATATAATCTTCCCAAAGACAACTCTCTAAAATTAATTTTATTAATCTCAGATTAATTCAGTTGCTTTAATTGATCGATAATTCTGTGTTTCTACCTTGTAGGAAGTTTGCAGTGTCTACAAAAATCCCTGATACTAAATGGTGTCAGAAGTGTTGTGTGGGTAAGTAAAGATCTGCAGAATAAATGACAAGAAGCAGAACAAATGGTGGTGGTATTAAGATTACCGAGTCAGGTTTAGGAGGTAAAGGGAGAAGAGACTTTTGTCGTTATTATGAAACTATGCATTTGCTGATGATGAGCTTGTTCAGGTTAGTCGATGCACTTAAGCAGTGAAAACATTCCCATTTTGCTCTTTAAATATATAGACAGTTCTCAAGAAATGCAGAGAAGCAGAATGCATGTCAGATATAAATCAGCCCTCAGGAAGAACCTAATCTCCATTGATGGAGTGGCCTTAAAGAAGTTACCATCAGGCTTTTAAGTAGCCTGACTTCCTAGCGCACGTTCCAGTTACTGATATTAGATAATAAAAAGCAAGGAGTATTTTCAGTTCTTTGAGGACAGTATAGTCTCTGAAGCCTTTAATACCTTGTTCAAAGTGCCAGCTTCTGAAATGTCAAAGCTGCATTGTGTTAAGGCATGTTTTAAAAGGGGGATGAGGACAGATAGATTTAAAAAAGAAAAAAAAAGTAGGAAAGGTAACTGGATGATCTCTTGGGGTTGAGCTCTTGGCTCTGGAAATGTTTTACCTGATGTTTCTTAATCAGATGTTTGGTGTGAGGATTTGTATTAGGCAGGAGATTTTCAGTGACTGAGTAGTAAGTGAGCATCTGTCATTTATCCCGACAAAAATCTCCCTGATGTTGCTAAAACATCTGATTTTTGTTATCACTTCTTTGTCCAGCTCACTTGTTAAAACTTGACTCTTACTGAGATACAAGTTGTCTAGGGTGTGGTAGGGTGTTGTCGATAGGTATAGTATATCAGCCTTGCCATGAATGTTTATGGATGCTGAAGGCAATACCCGAAGGGGTGGAGTGACAGGGATCAGAGTAGGTATGAATGCTGACATGCTTGACATGAAAATTAATTTGGGAGTCCATATGTCTTCAGGTCTTTTTATGAGAAAGCTGGTGGTGTGCTCCTCTGCAATCTTGCGGTTTCCGTACCAACAGGCAGGCACAGAATTTAAGAAGAGTGCCATAGCATTGCATAGCATAGCATGGCATTACAAGGGGGAATCTGTTGTCGTGACGTGCAGATAGTGTAGCCTGATAAGCCTGGAGTCCTTCTTGCATGACAGGCATAAGTGATAATTTGTGATGGCAGCAAGGGCAGCTGCAGAAGGCAGGTCCAAGGGAAGAAATGATAGATTCCCCTCTCCTGCCCTACTTACTATGTGCAGCCTGAGCCTCCATTCCTCCTGGCAGCGTAAGTAAGGTAGCATGAGTGTATTTCGCTTATGTAGATGATACTGGATTGCAGAAGCTCATTACCTGAACTGTGGTGGTGTGACTGCGGGCCATCAGGTAGTTTTTACTGCACTTTAAAATCTGGTCTTAGTGGATGTATTGGCAGTGCTTAAGGAGTGGAATTTTGACGATATTGTAGAATTAAAGTTGTGCAATTTCAGATTTCAGAATGTCCAATTTTGCAACTTTATTGTTCTCTTGAAATTTTTAATTGAGTTCTGACAAACAATAGGAGAAGAGCAGTTGAGTGGAAATAGTTGATGTAGCTTTAAAAAAAAAAACAAACCCTGAATTTCCTGC